ACATATTATCTCATTGTTTTCGACTAAAACATTAACATTAAGCACAATTTATTATGTTATTATACCCGATACTCGAAGAGAGTATAGGGGTGTATTAGATTTGTGCGGCAAATGGATGTGTGTAACGCCCAGAAGGAATCGTTTCCGACCTCATAAAGTATACATCTTGATCAGCATCAGTAGCCGAGTCGATTGAGCCATGTCTGTCTGTTAGTCCATCTGTCCGTCCTTATGAGCGCCTAGTGCTCAGAGACTATAAGAGCTAGTGCAACGAAATTTTGTGTCCAGACTCCTGTGATATCATACTGAATCAAGTTTTTTCCAAAATTGTTCCACAGGTACACCCTCTGTGGCATCCACAACTTTGAAGATTCGGGAAAACAAAAAATACAATACCATAGAGAATGACCATATCTTCTAGATTCCAGAATCTAAATCCGATCGGATTTCAGTGGCTACGTAGCGTGGTGACTGAGTATCGGGTATAAGTGTAGAGTCGCGGCCGTAGCAACGACCCACAATGTTTCCCCTCTTTTTTTTTGGTGCAGGAATTTTAGTAAGACAATGGACGGAATGAAGTTTCAGTCCTGAATTAATAATGAGTCGATGCACAATTACATGACTATCATTGATCTAATTTTTCATTGAATCAATCAAAGCTTCTTTCTCAGAAGGCTGCAGCTTGTTGCATAAGCAACCAAGAGGGACACTCTGGTTCCATATTTGGTTATGCATGGACTAAGCTTTTTGCATAAAGACAATGGTATCAAATATCATATCACATCAGCCACTCAACAGCCCCATGATGCATTTCTTGACCGCCAAAAAGCTTAACGAAAAAAACTGTGCTTCCGTGTGCGCTGAGCTTTCGTTGACTTGGCTGAAAGCTTTCCTGTACTGTGGTGCGTGTACTGTGGGCGCTGGCTCTCAAACTGTGACAGCTTTCGGCCAGATGAAGCAAATGGCTTTTGGCGTCGGATGCTGTGGTGGATTTCTGTGCGGCGGCTTTAACATTCCAACACCAATTGGAAGGCTGCACTGCTGCTTGGAATCTGTTGTCAGCGTTTCTCCTGGCCCATAGATAACCGATAACCTTTACCGAATGGGGAGTCGACACTCGATTTATTCCAGTATTTGTTCCAATTTTCTTGAATTCTTGCGATAAGGTAGAGGCCACCTCTTGACATCCCAAAAATATGTATTTGCCTCGGATGTGTGTGCATGCGTGTTCTTAAGGTTAATGTCCCAAATACGAACACTATATGATTCCGGTGGACTCAGCCATATACAGTATAGAGCCAAAGAGCCATAGAGCTACATAGAGCTAGTATAATGCCGATAGAGATAGCCGCACCCTGTCGCATCTTTCGGCGACCAAATACACAGTTGGTTGTGCGAGTATTTTTAGCCGCACAGTTTATCAACAACGGAAGCTGTGGCAATTCGCAAAAGGCGCCACTACTCTGGACTTATTCTGGAATCTCGATTTTGGAGTCTCGATTCTGGAATCTCGATTCTGGATTCAGTGGTGGGGCGGTTGGGGATGGGGGCGACTCTGACACACAAAATCACAACGTGTCCATTGGTCGACGGCCGTTTCCATACGAGACCCACATTGGGTGTTCGCCTCCAAGTCCGGCGTGCCCGCTCGACGCATGCGTCGTTTTTGGGATGTCAACGGGTCACCGGCGCCAATGAGAAGTCCGCAATGCTCTGGGTGTCTGGATGTGCTCTGTGGTGTGGTGGGGTGGGGGAGGGGTGTCGCCTGTGGTGTTGTCAACTGATTTCACACCGGCCAAGGCCGACCACCTAATTTCCGATCAGCTTTCGGGCATTTCCCAAAACGATTTGTGACGAAAACTCATCAGATACGTCGTGCGGCAGTGTGGAATCTCAAAGAAAAGACTCCCGAAATAGGTATATCTACTCTGATAAAACCTTATCTTTTGATTTCGACGGAAGATTATTTGAAATTTAATTCGAAAAAAGCCTAATCCGTATGAATTTCTATCCAACAAAGTCGCATTTTATACGAAAAATAACAGAAAAACGAGAGAAGAATGTTGTGCGGCAAAAATCGCGGCTCTATTTCATATCCGGTACTCAGTCAGTATGGCTCCCCTCCGCTAGAGGCGCACACTGCACGATGATAGTGTGTGTAAGAGAGAGAGAGAGAGAGAGAGAGAGAGAGAGAGAGAGAGAGAGAGGGAATCTAATAATATACCCCTGTACTCTTCGAGTACCGGGTCTAACAAGTGGATATCCAACCTATTTGAAAACAGTTTCATGCCATTAAAATCGTTCCAAATTGTATACATCCAAAACAGGAACGAATTCCTCTACTTCTAGATCTTTTCTTCTATCCCCAATGATCTATCTTTCTACATGCAACCTGCCCCACCATATTCCGGCGTCTTCCGTTCGTCACTCGTCTTGTTGTGCTTCAAATATGCTGTAGAGAAACGTAACGAGAAACACCGATAAAGCACACCAGATATTCTGGGAACGGTCAGAAAGTCGGAATATGTGAAAAGCCCCAACAGCTGCACACATTTCAGATGCACTCACTTTTGCATTTTCCTTCTGTTTAGAATATTAATGCAGACCTTAGAGATTTCAATGATGGTCTAGTGATGGTCTCCTGAATATTGGAAAGCTTGAAAAATTAGGATATTCCAGATTAAGAAAAAATATTTTTAACCAGTCAATATTAAAATGAAATGCTCAAAAATCGTTCAAAATGATACAAAATCGGAATATTCTTAGACTTTATTTTTGATAGCAAATATAATTTGAGTTATAGATCATTTTTACAATTTTAAGGGTTAATTATTTAAAAATGATGTAAAATCTGCAAAAAATTATTATTGGAAGAATCGATAATTATCGAAACATTTTGAAAGATTTTAGGCTCTCCGCAAAATTATTGCTCGTAGCCGTCTCCAAACAAGCCCTCCGGCTATTAGCCGAAGAACTGAGGCAGTATTTGTGACAAAATTTTGTTTTCTGCCTGGTTAGCCAGGAACAAAATTGGATCTGAACGTGTAACAATCGATCGTTTCCGCTGCTCCCAGCTCACCTGGAAAGCCATGCTGACACTTCCTCACCGCATGGTTTTCCCATAAGGATGCCTCTGTTTTTGCAGTTAGTCAATTAGAAAAGTCTAGTGTCATAAGGCTATTATTAAATAAGTCTAGACTTAGAACATACTAGTGCCACCACTGTCTGGTTTTCTTCCTCTTGATGAGAGAAAGGTTCTTTTTCGGGTTTTCCGTTTTTCAGTGTGAAATGCAAATCGAGCATCTAACACCGCCATCATCCATTTTTTCTGGAGTCCAACTTTTGCCATCTGCGAACTAAGGAGTAGTAAAAATAACTGATGTGCCTTATACATAATTTATGACCTCTGTCAAACGTCTGCTAAGAATCAGCATTCCCTCCCTGGAAGGTATCACCTACATATGTATACATAGGTGAGAAATGAGTAGTGAGCAGCGGTGGCTCGCGCGGAGCCGCGGCTTCTACTCTCTCTCTTGCTCTTTTTATCAGTTGACCTACAGAGTATGTGTGGGGCGGAGAGAGGGTGGCGAGGGGCCGCACACGAAGCCAGCCGAACTGTGTATCCTGCCTTGATAAAGAGCAAGCGCGATAAACTTTGCGTGCACTGTCACCCACGCAGACACAGACCTAGAGTGAGCCAAACCAACGGGAGAGGGAGAGAGGGAGTTGCACTCGACGCAACAGGCTTGCAAATGCATGAGTTGGCTGCGCTGTCGCTGTCGCTGTCGCCGTACTCACTTACAGCCGCTAGGCTTTCAGGAACAAAAACAATAACAAGAGCACGCAAAAGTTCGCTGCCAGCCGTCCTCTGCCTTGCCTTGCTCTGCAGCTGCTTCATTCCATGCTTCGGTTTCGGACCTGGTCTCGTGTCGGTCGTGTCTTGGCGGCGTCTTCGGCGGCAGAGGCGAAGCACAAGCAGAGCGACGTCGGCGTCGTGGGCTCTGGCGTTGGCAGCGGTGTCGTAGGCACAGGCCCCAAAGTTCTTACACATTCGGTTGCGCGCCATCGTACGAGGCGGTCGCACACTTTTCGGTGCGTTTTCCCTCTTCCCCCTCTCTCTCACAAATACACACAGACTCTGGGACCCTATCTGCCACGGAGGTGCAACAACACACTAACGGACAGAATACTCACCAAGTTCAATATTTTTTTCGAGTGACCCCCCCCCAAAGTGCTCCTCCAAAACCTCTCCAAAAGGATAAATCACGAAAGAAACAATCATATATCTTTTCTGTTGTAGTCCGTGCTCTTGAGATTTCCTTGAAGTTTCCTTGCTAGTTTTTTGTATTTCTTAATTTTGCAACCAAGAAACGCGTTCCAAAAAAATAAAAAAACATATAGTGGAACCGGGTAACCGGATTTCGGGATCTCTTGTCGCGGATCGGGTGTAAAAATCAACACGCGCGAAATGTAAAACAAAAATGAAAAAAGTGGCACATAAGAAAATAAGAATAAAAATAAAAACCTACACGAAAACCCCAACCAATACAGGGAAGCCTCCAATTGGGGCTCAGGTCCGGCTCCCGAGATCCGAGCTTTTTTCTGAGGAACTTCGTCTCCCTCTTGCTCTTACTCTACCCATCTCTGTCTCTGTCTTTTCGCTCTTTTTTGGGGCTTCCATTTCAATACATTTTTTCGCTGATTCGGGAATATATTCTCCACCCCCCCCTCTACCATTTCCTCTTCTGCTGACCTACACGATTTTCCCCCTCTCTCTTAACGATCTTAACGCTCCACTCTTTCTGTCTCTCTCGATTTTTGCAGTGCCATAGCCGTAAAACACTGTCTTCCTACCGTTTACCGTTTCACCCCATCAAATATATCGAATATCGAACCGAAAACTGCCTTAAAACCACACACACACACACACACACACAAAGTACCTATAACCATAAAAGCTGCCAAAAAACCAAAAAGAAACAAATTTGAAAAATAAAAAACCAAAGTAAAATCTAAGCCCCAAAAAAATAAACGAAACCCCACACAAGCGATGGGATCATCCGGATCCCAGGCGTCCGCGTCCGTGTCCGGGATCGCGACAGGACGGATGTCGCTGCTGTTGCGCCTCCTAGCGGTGGCGCTAGTAATGAATGCCTGCCACATGCCGCTGACCAATGCCAAGGTGAGTAAGAGTGCTGCAGAGTATACGGAGTGTAGAACCATCTTTCATCCTGCGAATCCATTATGATACATGGAATGATCCCTTTCGAGAAAGAAATTCCCTTTTAAACGAAAGAAGTTCCCAGCTGAAAAAGGATATATCCGATGTGTATCAACAGATTCCGAATATCACAATGACAGGTTTCTTGTGGAAAATGTCGTGAAGGAGTTCATGCGTACCATCTGGACCCAACAAATTCTTCAAAGTACATCTGCCCACACAAATAAGGACGTGTCCTCAGATATTTGGAGATTTGTTTTAAAATTTAATTTGTAAAAGTTTATTTGAATTTAAAAGCCTTTTCCTCTTTGCTAAAAATGTACTTCTCTCGCGGAATACCTTAAAAACTCCTCGCTATGAAATTTCAAGGGATTTATAGGAAGGGGCACATGAAAATAGGAAGAACCTCTTATCTTAGTCCTTAAATAAGAAATCCCCTTCATTCGTAGTCTTCAAATCCGTTCGTTCCTAGTTTTCTTTTTCAATGAAAATCCCACCACAAACTCCACGAATGAAAATGTCTTTTGGTTATCAAGAGCTTAAAACATCTAAAGTCCCCCAGTCTTTTGAATGTGTGCCTGTGCCTCCACTCGGGTGATGATGACACAAGTTGGGCACTCTCTGTTTGAGTGTCGAATGACGTGCCATGCACCAAAACGAATCAAATGAATCGAACGAACTTGAACTATTTTTCAGATGACACACATTCAAAAAAGATTAGCATAAGCAGCGTTTCTTGGATGCATCTTCCCAGCACTCAAAAGTGGATTTGAAAATAGTTTTCCCCCTCTTCGACCCTCATTTAAAACGCATTAAAATTGTCGGTGGAAATTAACATTTGACATTAACATTTATCTTGGTCTCAACAGAGCGGGGGGGGGGGGATGCATTTCTGTATATTATGGACGGGACACTGCTAAAAGACCGGATTTGGTGGCGACAGAAAACAAAAACCAACTAAATCTGAAATCTCGCCTTAGCTTTGGTGGCTCTCTGGTTGGGGGTCATCACGATGGGTTATCACTGTCCCCAAAATATTCCCCGCTTTGTTTTTTTTTGCCAATTATGAAAACGTTGATTGTTCTAATTTCTATCTATCTATCTCTTGTGGGTCTAAGGAGGGGCCCAGTTCTTGGGAGAGGCTCTATGTATTCGAAGGGGCTCTACGTCTATCGGCTAATGAGCCCTGTGCAATGACAGGCCACCGGCACCGGCACCGGCACCGGCACCAGCACCGCCACCGGCACCGGCTGCCTGCCTTATCACGGGGCATGTTAATGACATATTGCCCGCCCCATAGACCTATAGATGTAGCCTTGCTGTTCCGCTGCTGTCGTTGGTTGTCTTCCAAATGAAATAATTTCCAAAATTAACATTCGAAATCATTTCAACATATATTATATGGTAAATTTTTCGATTGGTTGCTCTTCCATTCACTTTCTGTCTATCGTTCTGTCTGTCTTGTGTTTTTGCTGTGGATGTTTTCGTAGCCAGGAAGTTGTAGGGTTCAAGGCTCATATGATTGTAGGGCCTCTCTGGAGAACCATAAGCCAGAATATTCCGAGTGATAGGGCAGGCGGAAACCAGGTCGACAACTGAAGAAATCTTCGAAATCTTTGCCTGGAAAGTCTCTCCTTGGAAGTTTCCTGCCAAGAAGTCCCAAGTTGCCCTGAGAATGAAGTTCATGCAACATTTGCATTGGAATGGTTAGGAGATTGGAAGTCTTGAATGTAGCCTTTCGCTTAGGGCAACATTTCGTGCAGCAAGTGCATTGCAGGTATGCCATCCACAACGCAGCGAGGGCTGTGCTCATCCTTTCCCACTCTTCGATTTGTTTGTGCTTTCATTTTTAAAGTTTTATCACATCGGAAGTTGCTTGTAAATTGGGGCCAAATTCTTATAAAGAGTTCTGTGATTCCATTTAATTCCATATAATTCCTTTTTATAAAAATGTAATATCGCATGCCACGAATGCCGCGAATGCACTGCCACTGCTCCATTCATGGTCTTATCACAAACTCTGCTGCAAAAGGAAAGACAGAGGCAAAAGCAAAGGCAGATGCGGAGTGTACTGTAAATGAGGTCACTGACAACAGAAAGGGAGTCCAGCAGCAGGCAGGCAGCAGTGTGCCACAGATAAGTGCCGCTGCAGCTCCATCGTGGGGTGCCTTTCGCCAATGCGTATGCGAACTGTGGGTCCACGTCCATGTCCAGCCATTGCGTATACGAACAGGTGGTCAAACGACCCAGACAGGATCATAGGCAGAACTTTTACCCGTGCAGATCGTAAGGAACTTCTGTCATGATAGACTGCTGCCCCTACAGATCAGATCTCTTGTGGGCCCCATCTGTTCCTGCAGACTGCGGACTGCTCTCTCTCTTTCCCTCATGCCACATGTCTGTCAAACAAGCTGTCACAATTTTTGCATCATCAACAGATCCCAAATAAAAAATCACCACCAAAAATCAAAAGAAAAAGGCCAGAAAAGAGTATTACGAAATTTGACGAAGAGATGAGAAAGTGGCTGGAAGTAACAACAAGTTTACGGTGTATCTGTGTATCTTTATCTGTAAGCTTTAAAAAATTGGAGAAAAACTAAGATCGGAGGGACCATACTATCGTACAGAAAACCACAGATGTGTCTCTTCCTCAACGCGAAACACGCTGCGTAGATGCTGCTTTGTATCTTTTACGGCAGAGTATCTGAAGCTTTTGTATCTTTTCCTTTGCCTCGCCTTGTTTGTGGATTGTTTGTTTGTGCACCATATGGACACAAGATGTTCGGACCATCAACATTTCGATCGACACATGCTGCCTGGCTGTGTATCTGTATATGTAGCTAATGTATCTGTATCTTTGTGTCTGTTACCAACGGGTGCCCGTTACGGGTGCTTCACACATCAAATGCAATTTTGTTCAATGGAAAAAAGTCATGACAGTCATTTGTTTAAATATTATGACATTCCGCGAGGGCGACTCCGACCTCTCCCTGCGCACTCTCTGCCCCTGGCATATGCTGCCTCTTCCTCTTCCACTTCCCCTGCCCCTGGCCATGGCACTCCCTCTGAATTTTATTCTGCCACTTCAATCTCAAGTTCAGAGACTCTCTATCTGTGGAACATGTTTATATGGAATAGATAATTCAAGTGCCACAGCGAAGTGCCAGAGAGAGGTGTCACTAAAGTGTCTCTCTCGCTGCCTCTGTCTCTGTTTCTGTCTGTCTCCTCCCCTGATGAGTGTTTGACTGAATGATTGGCCAGAAGCTTCCGCCTTCCGCCTTCTGCCAGCCTTCCAGCCACATGCGATCGAGCCAAGATTCGGGCCCATTAGTCATCCTTCTAGAAGGAGTCGCGTCGCTGGCCCTCGTCCAATAAGTGACGTAGACATTAACATTCCCCCCACCCCCCATGCATTTCGTAATGCCCCCTTGCAACAGAGTGTTTCAGTGGCAGGGGAGAGGGGTGTGGCAGACTATGAAGTAAACGTTTAAAAATAGATATAGACACTAGAGTACGCGAGCCAGCAAATAGAAAGATACAAAACAAGAGAAAAGAAAGAGCATTGGAATTTCATGTTGTTGAGAAGAGAAAGACAGGGACATAGAGGGGAAAAGAGAGATAGAGAGAGAGGGAAAGCGAGTGCCACGACTAGACCTAGAGGGACATTTTCTCTCTCGGTTCAGGTCATTCGGCTTACATTTCTCTATCCTTTTGGATGGAAATGCACAGTTCATGCACTCGACTTCTATCACTGCAGTGCACTGAGAGAAATCGTTGGAGAGATACCACTTTGGACTGGGAGAAAGGAAAGGGAAAGCAAACATGAACTCCACCCTGAGAGAGCTAAAGGGCCTATCGACTTGCAATATGTCACTGCAATTATAACTATCGATAACTATGACCGATAATAAATCGATATTATAAATATATTACTTAAGCGATCATTTCCGATAAAATAATTAATAGCTATAATTATCGATAGGAATAATTATAAAAATCGATCGAATATATTCCCATCGACTGTAGGCCGTTGCCTACTTATCGATAACTAATCGATAACGGCAGTGTGTTTTGTGTATGTAAAACATGATCCTTCCGCTGTGTTTTTGTATCTGGTATCCATCACATAAAGGAGCTTTTAAATTTCTGCTAATTATCTCGTCTTGCTATCCAATCGATTACAGATCGATTATGACTATCGCTTCATTAAACGAGCTTGCAAGAATCTATGTAAATTGTACACTCTTTGTTGCAAACATCTTCCCTGCTGTTGCGTCACTCTCTTCAGAGTTCCTTTGGGCTACTTTGTCACTTCGATCCGTACTTAGCTTTGGAGAACACAATATGTAAATATATTTTCTAAAAGACAATATTTCTGTATGAAAACCAGCTCCAATATGTAGCCTTCCTTGCAATTTAATATTTGCATTCGAGAGAGATGTCTCTGCATCTATGTATCTATAGATGGCGTATCCGTATCTATGAGCGTAAATACACCGTACGTTCGTGTGTGTCTGTGTGTTTTTGAGTCTCGTGGCGATGCGATGAACAATAATTATTGTTTAAATATTGCATTGCGCAAATGTTGAAAATAGAAAAAACTATCAGCCCGAAGGCAGCAGCAAACAGCACCCAGACGCCGCTCTACATCTCTGCCCCATGCTCCCCCCGTGGCACCCAGTTTCGCGGAGCAGGGGAGAAAACTGTCGCAATTTGCCTTCTGAGCTATTGCAAAATGCAAGAATGCCTCCATCCGTCCGTCCATCTTTTTGTGAGTGGGAGCATCGCATATATATTCTATTGTGTCATTCACAACAGCAGCAACACATCAATGTGCATTTAAATATTGTATTTAGGCAAATGTTTCTTTTTACGAGCAAAATGTGTGAAAAATACAAGTATCTTCGGGCGGATTCTGTCGGGAGAGCTTATGTGCGCTTAATATTCCACTGCCGGATCGA